CCCTGCTCCCCCCCCCCCCCGCTACCAAGGTCACATTCTGAGCTCACGCCATCTGCCACTCTGCCACTGGCCACATTCTATCACTTGTCTCCATTACAGAGACTGCCAAAGGAGACCCCGAAGTCTAAAGGATAACGGCCCTTCCTGGGATATGAAGTGTACCTACTGCAACATGGTTTTCTCTCTCTAGCCCTGGATAGCTGAACATGGCCCTGGGTCCACAGAGAGCCAAATGATCCAACCCACAATGCATCAGCTTTTCAGACTGGTTTTGGGACAAAAGGATCTCTCCAGAGCTGGGGACCTCTTCTCTTTAGATGATGCTGAGATTGAAGACAGCCTGACGGAAGCTCTGGAGCAGATTAAAGTCATTAGCTCATCTTTGGTAAGTAAATTGGTCAGTAGAATAGACCTCTCCAGTAGCCAATCTCAGAGCCAAAGACTATATGCCTCCCAGCAAAGAGAAAAGGGAAAGGCCAGTGGTTTGTAGAATATGTGGCTTAATTGGTATCTTAGAAAAATAAAACTGAACAAGCCATTATCTTAGGCTAGCTTTCGCCCACTCACAGAAACCCGAATGCTGGAAATCGAAAACGAGAGTGGAAGTCTCACAAATGGATTCTTTGGGGGCTATTTTTACATCCTTGAAATGTCACGGAGAAGAGGGGTGGTAACAAATTTAAGGAAAGCAGACCTGCCAAGCTGCACAACTACATCAGCAAACAAAGCAGGGCGGGCGGGTGGCGGCGGCTGAATAATGAAAGAAGGCAGGTGACACCTCTGGCACACTGGTAATCTGAGACACGGACTGCCGGGGCGCTGCTGCCAGGAATGACAGTCGCCCAGGGCCTGATGATGCTGGTTCTGTTTACTTATGCATCGCCTCACTCTCTGAAAAAAAAAAAATCTTTTCTTTGCTTCATTTTCTACCTTCCAGTCTCCATTTAATTCAACTCTGCAATTAGTCCCAAATATGGGCACATCCCTTTAAGATCCCAACCGAGCCTCCCCCTCCTTTGTTTTGCCTCCGTGTCAAAAATCATACATTCTGAAAATGCATCCCAAAGCAGAGATGTGTGCAATACCCTGTGTGGTTTGGTATTGACCTTCTTGGTTGGGCTCGGACCTTCCTTGAGATTAGTCCTACTTCAAAGACCTCAGACTAAACGCCTGTCACGCCCACATGCTCACAACTCAATAGTGTTTGCTCACACTTAAGCACAGACACCTCTTGGGAGGGAGAAGGTGTGGGGCTTGCGACATTGACATGTAGCAGCCACTTCTGTGAGACTTTTGAAAGCAGCGCCGGCAAGCCACAAGGATTGATCCACGCGCCTGTCATCATATTCATTTGCCCTTCACTCTTTTTTAAAGATATATTTATTCATGTATTTTGTGTGTGTGTGGGTGGTGGGGGGTGTTCTGCCTTCATGCACACCCAAAGAAGAAATCTGATCCCATTACAGATGGCTGTGAACCACCATGTGGTTGCTGGGACTTGAACTTAGGTCCTCTAGAAGAGCAGTCAAGCGCTCTTAACCACTGAGCCATTTCTCCAGCCCTCGCTCTTTATTTTTAATGTACTAATCCCCCCACTAGCCAATGGGTCATTTCCCTAACATTCTTCTTTGACAGCAATCACTTGTTCATACTTTTCCCAGACCATTAATCATCTTCATCTGACTCAAAACATAAAGTGTTGCGAGTACGTTTGCACTCTCTGGGTGGTGTTTCTGCGCTGTCTCCATCCGGCCCCTCATTCACTCTTCTAGAAATAAACTGGCTGAATATGTCATTGCTTTTTGTCTTCCTTGGAAAAACAAACCTACTCAGACTAAGGTCTGTTTCCAGCAGAGGTCACTAGTGGCCTATGCTTTCCTTGGTTTCCTTCAACCTGCCTTACAGATAGATATCAGAGGAAGGACTTTAGGACCGGGCCTGTTATGTCTCCATGGGTTCAGTGAGGGTGCGACTTGAGTCTGGCAGCACTGCCGAACCAAGTCCTCTAGCGAACATCCCACCTAGCTGAGAGTTCCCAGCTCTTCTTTCTTAACTTCCGTCTCATTGACTCCCTCCACCCATCTCCAAGGAGCAGAAGTAACATGGCGACTTACCGTTTGCACGTGTCAAGCTTAGGGACTGGTGCCGGTCACTCTTCCCTTGCCTTTCCTGTTAGTCTGCTGTGCCATCTTGGCTGACTTGCCTATTGCCTGTGTTAAATACATTCTCATGATATGACCCAGGTCTCCTTTGCAGGTTGCCCCTTTCTTGATGACACTGGACCACAGTAATTAATTCTTATTCTCAGTTCTTCAAGAAGAGAACTAGAAGTTTCCTTTTGAACTGCTTTTTCAAACATCTTTCCAGCACCGATCTCTTCTTTGGGACTCTGGACAAATGGCCACTTCTGCTTGCTCAATAGTGAGGCTAGGAATGCTGTTCTTATGCTATTCCGCCCTCTTAGATTTCTCCTAGTTAACTCTCGTCTCTGTATCACAAGGCTGTTTGTGAACTGCTCTTACTCCGCTACCAATGGAAGGATGGGAAAGAGCAAGATCCTTCTACCCCCTGACAGCCTGCTTAAAACCTGTAACTCTGTGGTCAGCAAAACACATTTTGTAAGTATGTAGGGAAAGGTATACAAATTGTGCTATCTAAATACAACTTTGATGTAAATTACAATAATCATTTATCTATTTATAATAAAATGATAACTCAGATGTCATCATTTTGGGGTTGTTCTGCCCAAGTCTCTGCTCTGGCATGTAGAGAAGGGATATTATTATTGATTATATTCCACCCTCCCCTATTGCTGCCATTTCCTAACCTCACTTCCGGGGGGGGGGGACATCCAGCTCACCTGCGCAATCTCATCCAGATTGTGCTGCTAAGAGGCCCCTCCTGAGCTTGCTAATCCCCTCCATACAAATAGACCTCAGTAATTTTATTCTCTGTAGTTGTTGCTTTTCTCTCTGTGGCCCACCACCCAGCTTCCAAATAAACACATGAGAAGACTTATTCTTACTGATAAATGCCCAGCCTTAGCTTGGCCTGTTTCTAGCCAGCTTTTCTAACTAAAATTATCCCATTTCTCTTTAACTACATTTTGCTTCTGGATTCTTTATCCTTCTTTATCTTATCTATCTTTCTTTCCTTCTTATGCTATGGCTGGCTCTGTGGCTAGGAGGCTGGCCCCTGGCATTCTCCTTTGCTTCTCCTTTTCTTACTTCTCTTGTTCTTCTTCCTAGATTTCTCCTCCTATTTATTTTCTTTGCTTGGCAGCCCCGCCTATCCCTCTCTTGTCTAGCTGTTGGCTGTTCATCTCTTTCTTAGACCGATCAGGTGTTTCAGACAGGCACAGCTTCACAGAGTTAAACAAATGCAACATAAAAGAATGCAACACATCTTTGCATCATTAAACAAATATTCCAGAGCATGAATAAATGTAACACATCTTAAACTAAAAATACACAACAATTCTCAAAGAATTCTTGTGTCCAAGTTCTCAGAGAATGCCTCATTGTAGCTCCAAGTACCAACTACTTTCTCAATGCTCTAGGATCCTGCTTGGGATCATCTTAATTTATTATTGTGATTTATCATGGTTTTTACTTGGGCCAGTTGCTCAGAGCCATTGTGAATGCTCATCAGATAAAGTGCTCTGCTCCTAAAATACCATTTTAATAGCAATAGCAAACATTTTCCACATTTATCCTGGGACATTCTAAGACTTTCGGGGTGGGTCAAATCTTATAGCCAGGTCATTTCTTAAGTGGCTTCCATTACATTTAAACCATTGCAAACACTTTCTTGTGTTCAGACCCTTGTGCTACACAATCCTGCCTCTTAGCCATCATGATTCTATCAAATATATTTAGCTATCACTCCAAGCGTTGTCAGATCAGAGCATCTGCCAGGCTGCCTCAGTTCCTTCCCCCAGAGTTATCAGTCCTTCCTTACTGGATTCCAGTCCCCATTTGGTGGCTAACCAGCCCTTACTGGGATTCCTGGCCCCAGCTGGTGACTAATCAGCCCTTACTAGAGTCCAATCCCCAGTTGGTGGCTGCTTTCCCTACCAATTAGCACATTGCTCTCAACCACTTTGCTTTGAACGCCTCACTAAGTTCCCAAACATGCCTTTAATTTTGTCTTTTTATGCCAAATCCTTTCCAGACTACCTTTATAATTAGCTTTCTTTCTTATTAACTTAGCTTTCTTTTCAGATAACTTAAAGTGAGATCATCTCTCTATCCAGTCATCTACTTTTCAGTACCTTCTTTGCTCCATGGAATATTTTAAAACAGTGGAACATATTGGGCACACAATATCACCTCATCTAAAACCTTCGACACCTACAAAAGTGGTGCATCTGTATCACCCCACCCCAGACTTTACAGGGCTCAGGAAGAGAGGGGGGAAGATTGTAAGAACCAGGGGTCAGGCAGAATGAGAGCAAAACATTGTCTTGTGGACGTGCCCAACTCCTGGGCTCATGCGTTCACAGCAGCTATGAGCACCTACACAAGACCAGTGAAGAGCAAGCCAGTCAACATTTCAGCATGAGGAAGGGGGAGGTTCTTAAGCCCCTGACCCTAGCTGAGGAGCTATCTGCAGCTATTGGCTTCTGGGAGAGGGAGACTCAGTTTTTCTTTAAGGGTGTAGCCCTCGGTAGGTCAACCATGCTCCAGTGGATGGCTCACACCCATGAGTATGTTGACACCACAGATTCGTCTCAATGATTGTTTTTAACCTTGATTCATTTTATTATTTATGTTTGGGTATGTTTTGCCTGCATATATGTATGTGTAACAATGCATGTCTGGTGACTTCAGAGGTAAGAAGAAGGCATTAGAGGCCTGGTACTCAATTATAGAGGGTTGCAAATCATCATATGAATATGTGGGATTGCACTTGGGTCCTCGGCAACAGAAACAAGAGATCTTAACCCTGAGACAAATTTCCAGTCCCCAATATAAAGTTATTTTTTAAAAAAATTTAAAAAAATGATAACACATAGTTGGGAGCTGGTGAAGAGGTAAGGATGAGTCTGGGAGAAGTTGGGGGAAACGGAGGAAGTGAATATGATCCAAATACAGAGTATTCTGAATGTTGATTAAATATTATATTTAGAAAAGGCATAACAATAAAACCAGGAAGAAAGGAAGAGAGAGAGAGGGGGGGGAAGAAGAAGAAGAAGAAGGAGGAGGAGGAGGAGGAAGAGGAGGAGGAGGGAGAGGAGGAGGAGGAGGAGGTAGGGAGGAAGGGAGGAAGGGAGGAAGGGAAGAAAGGAGGAGGAATTTGGTACAACTGAAATGCTTGTATATTTCTTTCCAATACAGTTGTCCTTCCTTAGACCCGTATGCTAACCTGTAGCTGGACTGTGGTATTCGACCATGTATTTTTTTAAGTTCTATATTGGAAATGCTTGACTTAAACATTATTAGTAGAAAGTTTTAAACTTTTATATAAGGATTAAAACCTAGAAAAAAATTAAAGTCCTTTGGTGTGTATCACAATATCTGAAATACACAGATCTCTAAACCCAGTTGTTTCTATTTATACTGAGAACCTTCGAAGTCTATAAAAACTAGAAAAAAAATTAAACTTTATATAAATGCTTTCCTAGCTTTGATGCTGTTTTTAATTTATCCAGCTTGGCACATGCAGTCTCATTTATGTAGTGAATTTTATATGAACATACCACTGTTTTCATTCATTCTTCTTTTGGACTGGCCCTCACTACTCAAATAGTGCTATAGTAAACATTATTGCCGTTGATTATTTTGGCAAATATGCACTTCTCAGGTTCTCAGTAAAAAGGAAAACAACTGGGTTTAGATCATCTTTGTATGTCCAGTATTATAATCTGCACCAAATTGCTTTCTAATGTGAAGGGTGTATGACGGCTCCGATTGCTCTCTTCATTAGTTCCCTCATATATCAACTGTTGCAACTTCTTTTAAATAAGTTTAGTGAAGCAGTATGCAAATGCTAATTAAATCGGCAACAACTCCTCACTTGCAAGTGAGGGCAACCATTTTTCATCTGCTCATGTGCCATTCACCTCTTGGGTTTATATAAAGTTCTGTTTCTAGTTATTCATTTGCTTTCTCTTTTAGTGGAAGGAAGGGTACTGAGGCAGGGCCGTACTTTACAGAGGAAGGCTGGCCTAGCCCTGCCTATGTCGTTCAAGTATACTTGAACTAGATTGTGATGTTGCAGCCTCTCAGGTTCAAGGTTGCAGGTGTGCAGCACCACACCTGGCTCCCCCCACCCCACCCCCAGGTATTTAATGTCCTTTTCAGTTCTTAGGCTGATCTTTGTCACTTATGCATGCACTCTAGCATTCCAGAGGGAAGTGGGCCCCTTACTGTGTGAGCCTGGTAAGACAAGTGTACCCCAAGCTGCTCTCGTTTGTTCTTGTTCTTTAAGAACTTTACATTTAGATACTCACATTTTGTGAATGATTCTGAGAAAATGCGAACTGGAAATTCTTTGTATCCATAACCTAATTTGAAAAAGAAATTGAGCACCACAGTGGCAGCACAAGGCTTTCTTTTCTGAAGATGCAGCCATACCGTCCACTTACTTCAGACTTCTTCGAAACAAAACTGTGTGGTTCTCTCCTCCTAAGTTTCGCCTCCTGCACGTGTGTCTGTGCAGCACTTTCACGCCTGGTGCTCATGAAGGAGAGAGGAGAGCACTGCCTTCTCTGGAACGCTGGTTGTGGGCTTGCACATGCATGCTGGGAACTGAACCCATTAGATCCTGTCAGTAGTGTGCATTGTCTTCTAAATTAAAGCACTATATATCCTTAGCTAGGGCTAAAGATGGCATTCTTTTTTTTTAAAGTCTTTTCTACTTTTTTCCAAGTGAATAAAGCACAGTCACTTTATTTGTTATTGTTGTGTGTGTGATGGATGTGGGAGGAGTGTGCACGCCGGAGCATGTGTGTGAAAGGCATAGGACAACCTTTTATAATCCGTTCTCCTTCCACTTTACGTGAATTCCGGGGATGAACCCAGGTCATTAGTTCAGCAAGTGCTTTACCGGTTAGCCATCTCATGAGTCCCTTAATACAACTTATTTTTGGTGATTTTATATCCAGCAAACTTAATCAACTATCCTATAATACTGACAATCAATCTGTGTACATTTCATCATTTGTGAGGGGTGGAGCTACGTTAAGAGCACTGGCTGCTTTTCCTGAAAACCCAGGTTCAGGTCCCAGCACCCATGTGGTAGCCCACAACCATCCAAGACTCCAATTCCAGAGAACGCAGTGCCTCCTCTGGCCTCCATGAGCACCAGGCATAGAAATATTGCACAGACATACATGTAGGCAAACTCTTCACACACACACACACAAATAACATTAAAAATAAATTATGTGTAAAATGCAGTTAAAAGATTCACACACAAAGAAGGTAGATGGTTTCTGAGTTGCTGAAGATGACGTTGTAAAAACACAGGCCCTGGGAACATGTTTCCACTGGAGAAGGGAACTGGGGGCTGAGGGACGGGGCTAAGCGGGCTTAGAGGGCTCTGCTCTGCACTTTCAACCTTGTTTTCTCCATCTCTAGTACCATAGCTATGCCTTATCTTTTAAATTAATAAAAATTTGGAACTGAATGGCCCAGTCATTAATAGCACTTGCTCTTCCAGAGGACTGAGGTTTAAATTCCGGCTCCCATGTGGCAGATTATAACTATCTATAACTCTGGTTTTAGGAGGTCAGATACCCTCTCGGTCCTCTTCAGGCACTTGTGTGTTGCACAGATGTGCGTGCATGCAGAACACTCACACAAATAAAATAGAAATAAAACTCTTTAAAGATTTAAATCCAAAAATTTAAATAATTTAAGTTTCTAATTTTAGAAGGCAAATGTAGTGGATTTTTCTGTCCCTCCAGCCATCCCTCAAATCATGACACAGAGACTTACTATAAATTATGAAAGCTTGGGCAATTACTTAGACTTGTTTCTAACTAGCTCTTATAACTCAAATTAACGTATTTTTATTAATTTATGTCCTGCCACGTGACTTGTGGCTGTTACCTCTCCTCCTATACCTACTACTTTCTCGGCATCTGACTAGCAACCCTGCCTTCTTCTTCCCAGCGTTCTCTCTGCCCTGAAAATCCTGCCTAGCTATGGACCGTTCATCTTTTAATTAAACCAATCAGAGTGACACATCGTCACAGTGCACAAAAAATTAATCCACAACATTTCCCCCTTTTTTTCTAAATAAAAAGGAAAGGTTTTAACTCTAACATTATAAAACTATATACAATAAGAACAACTGTCAAGTATGAGTTACATTTACAATGTCCAACCTATTTCTCTTTGCAAACTTGGAGAAAGAACTATATTATTTATCCTATCTTCGTCCAAGGTATGAACTTAGTCCAGAAACCATTTCTGTCATAACTTGTATTATCCTCCTAAAACTTGACTGTTCAGCTTTTTATTAAACCCACCAGAGTGATACATCTTCATAGTGTACAAAAAGATTATTATACAACAGGGAAAAAAATACACAACTCAAAAACTTGATTGATTTAACTGTCTGAACTCAGCTTTGAAAAGGAACGATGAAGCGTGTTCAGACTTACAACTCCAGTGTTGCCTTAATATCCTTAGTAGGAAAAAAAATATTGTTCCAGAGGAGGATCAAAAGGAAAATGAAGTCAACTAAGGAAAAATAGACTTGACACTCATTGCCCAATTCCCAATGGAGGAAATAACAAATGGCCAATAAACACACGGAGATATGTATCCTTACTTTCATTCAAGGAAGTGCCTAACACCAAACAGTAATGAGATACTGTTTTCCACTGATCAAATTAGTAAAAATTAAAAATACTTTGTTCCTGCAAAAGCACAATGAAGATATTAAATTTTCACCCAGACAACTGGAGTTTAAATTAGTGAGGTCTTTCTGGAAGGTAGTTTGGTAGTTTGTAGTGGGAGCCTCAAAATTATCTCTGTCCTTTGCTCCAGAAAGTTGCTCCTTCTGGAGGAAAAAAAATATCTGGGTTACAGGTGATTACAGTGTAGATATAGGTCTGAGATGTTTATTGACCTCATTATAACAGTAAAAACTGTGTTAGGAGTGAGAATTCCCAGTCGGCCAACGGGGCGGGGTGGTGCGGGGCCTCTGAATGCTCACCTACTTCTAGTTGTCTGCCCTGTGAGACTCCCATGGTGGTGTTTAGTCAGACCCGGTTTCCAACGCAAAGCAATAAGCATTTTTGCTGTACACGTTTGTTTTTTTCACATTTAAAATTTTTCAGGGATTATATTCTTTCTTGATAAAGATGAGGATGTGCCTAGGAGGTAATTAAGACAGGAAGCTGGAAGGAAATTTGAGTGGGGAAAGCTTACCGGGGGGGTTTGTTGCTTCTTTGAGTTGAAGAGGAAGAAATGAAACATTGTGTTCTACTGGAGTCTGGGAAAGAACTAATAAGAGAACATTACAAAGTAACGTGAATTTTTTTTCTCATATACTTGACTTAAAAAAACATCACTGAAAAAAGTAACTTCTATCTTGGAGAGACTTAAAAACTGAAATGGCCTGAAGAGTCACCTGCTCACACATTAATGATCCAGCTCCTCTGGCCAGCTGTCACCCTCCATTTTATTACTGACAGCAGGGGCTTGGATGTATGTTCTGCCTCTTCCACAAGAGGAAGTAAAGGGCTTTACCACCTCACTCCTTAGCACACAGCAACACACAGCATTTCAAAACAACTCGCTGCGTAGCTTCCTTTTCAAGGACAACTTTCTCGAGTGCTTATTAACTTGAAGGTTTTCTTTCTGAATAGGACTACCAAACTAATAATAATGACCAGGCGGTGGTTGAAATCTGTATCACAAGGATCACAACGGCCATCAGAGAGACGGAATCCATTGAAAAGCATGCCAGGGCCCTGGTGGGACTGTGGGATTCCTGCTTGGAGCACAACCTGAGACCCGCGAGGAAAGACGAAGATACTCCACATGCAAAAATTGCATCTGATATCATGAGCTGCATCTTGCAGGTATGTTGCTGCGCCAGCAGCAGGCAATGTGATACGGAGTTGGCAGCTTACGGTGAACACATGATGTCTCTGAACTGAGAGGCAGTTTTGGTGCCTCTTAGATACTGTAAAAAGACACCATAACCCCGGATAGAGTAAGCCAGCAGGTGGCTCACTAATAAACTGAGAAAAAAACCTACTGAGTCCCTGCTGAGTCCCTGTGAGCTATATTTTAAAGAATGCAAAATAATACCTCAACAAGCATGAAAGCATGCTTGGGGAGGTCAAAGGAGGATAGGGGGCGCTCTTCTCCCTCACTTCACACCCTCTCTCACAGGGTCTCTCAGTGAACCTGAAGATCAGCGTTGCAGGCACATTCAGCTATAGTCAGCTCTGTATGTGGGTGCCAGAGGTTTGAACCCAGGCCCTCATGCCTGCACAGCCAATGCTTCTGTCTGCTGAGTCGTCTCTCCAGCCTGTCTAACTCACTTTAAGTCTATTTTCCTGTGTGCTGTGAATACCCATCTGTTCTACATGTGAGAGATTGGCAGGTCCGTGTCATTAAGTCTCTACCCTGCCATGTCTTTACAACTCTGCTTTGCCCCTTGTAAATTAAGAGCAACAACACCTGCTGTCTGAAACCGTGAGACATCGAGGGGATGGGGCATGTGCAGCGCTTACTTTGAACAATTACAGTTCAGTCAGTGATCAGGAAACATGGCGGTCCGTAGCTAGCAAATAAATCCACAGTCTTGTAGGCCAACAGAAACAAGGTCCCAGATAATTCCCACCAGGTCATAAACATGTTAAAATTTTATGCTACAGACCGGTGATGGTGGGTGAACATGAAGAAGGACCTTCATTACAAAACTCTCTATAGGTGCTCTCCACATGATGTGGAGCCCCAAATTCAAACCACAGCTTACTCAGGACCAGGAGATTCCTCTGACCAAGTTACTATATGGATTCAGTCATTTCCCATCTCCTGGAGAACCCCTGGAAGAGAGATAAACAAGACATTCTGCTTTCTAAAATAAATACGAACTTGGAGAGGGCAGATGAGGATGAAAACGTGGCCCAGGGGTATTATAACTATCATCGTCATCAACGTACTAGAATGAAATTCTAAAGAACTGGGAGTACCTGATTCTGATCTCATCATCCGAGTCAGGGTGATCACTTTCCCTCAACTGCTTGCTTGTAGACCCGATGTCATATGTCAATCAGCTTTGCATTACCTGCTGTCTCCTCTCAGCTAACACTCTGGGAGGACCTATGAAGAGGGAAATAATAAAAGATGACTGACAAGGAAAACAAAGGGAACTAGAAAGAATCCGCAAATCAGGAAGCATGTATTTTTCTGCATTGTAAAAGGACCTAATGTCTAGCCTCATTGCTTGCACTTGGTTACTGCTTGTGTAGGCTTCCCCAGTCAGTACCCTGTGAAGACTTTGAGAAACAGGACCCAGGATGGCTCAGTATTTCCTTCAGAATTCTTATGGGGGAAACTGGTTGTATAAAGTTAGAAGGTTCCTCAACAAGCAATCCCCTATTATTTAGCCTTAGGGTGCTCTTGGACAAATTAACATTTTTGTGTCTTTATTGCTTCGTCCTATAAGTACACATTATAGGAGTAATTTCCTTGTGGCTTTGTTGTGATGAACAAATGACCAGATAGCAAAAAGAAAAATACGGAGGAAATAAGTAAGAAACACCACATGGTCGTTAACTCCAGTTGACATTATCATCTGCAGGAGACCATTCGATACCGTAAGATATGCTCTTTTTACTGCTATTTGCCTGTGTGTGTTTTCTGTGCCCGGGGGAAACAAGTGAGAGTGGTTGACCTTAGGCATCTCCCTCCAGGGCTCTTCACTTTATCTATTGAAGCAGGATCTCTTGAGAAAACCAGAGCTAACCGGCTTGCCCCTGTCTCCACCTCCAAGTGCAAGGATCGTGTAGGCAGGGCGCCACACCTACCTAGCTTTCATGCGGGTCTGATAAGCCCTCAGTAGGGTCCTCACACTTGTGTGGCAAATGATTTATCCACTCAGCCATCGTCCAACCCACCGTTCAACCCTTTGCAACAAGCTGTTAATTCAATAATTGCACCCACTGGTGATCCTTTGCCTGTCTCTAGTCTCCACAAATTATATATTGCTTTGTTTTGTTTTGTTTCTCCATGAAGGTAGTCCCAGAACCTACAATAGCACTTGGCAAACTGCAGGAACTCAGGTAGTATCTACTGAATGATGTAATGTATGGGTTTGGGGGCAGTAATGATCCTGTGGTTTCCTTAGCAACTAGACTTCTCTCCAGTGGGCTTCTGGATGTGGTTCTGGGACAGGAGAATGGAATGTGAGGGATGGGGACCTCCCTTCTCTCACCTTTCAAGAAACCCACTGAGCAAACCGGATGTCGGTGTCAATTAGACTTCTAGAGAGCTCCACCGGTAAGAATCATGCAGTCTGCCTGTCTGCTTGATGAGGCTGCATGAACATCCGAGGAGCACTATTTTAATAGATGAAGCTGAACATCTCTTGAGATTGTTACTTTTCTGTGGCTCCAATTGGAGTCAATCCCCAGGGGCAGAGGAGCCTCTCTGTTCCTGTTCCCGAGATCTGTATCTCGTCTCTGCTGTATCCATTCCAGTTTTAAACCACTCAGAAAGGTTCCCAGAGCGCGTTTTCAAAAGGGGAGTTTCTACCAAGAGCTCAAATGGTGCTAATCAAGTTGAGAAATGGAACCCTTGGCATCGTGGAACAAGGCCCTCTTGTTTCGCGTCTCCAGTGAGGGGCAGCAGTCCTCAGGAGTAGCTTTATTTCCACCCTGCCCTGCCCTCCGTTTGTTCCCTGCGCTCGGAACTTGTAAGATAATATTCACACCAGCCCGCTCACATCTATGCTGAGGGCCAAGCGCTGTGACAGGCTGTGGGCATTATCAGCGGCTCTTGAAGTGGTTTATTTCTTGTAGAATGGTGACCACAGGACTTTTTTTTTCTGCCTGTATCCCATTAGCCGCCCTGTGATCCAAATAACTCTAAAGATAAAATGCCTTTCGGTGCCCAGCTCTACTGCGTGAGTTGCCTTTGAAGGGGAAGCTCAGCCGCTGGGGCAGAGTTGTTTGCTATCTGTTAGGTCCATGGGATTTTTCCTTGTCAATGTCATACTGGCCTCTAGCCCCTTGCTCACATCCTGTTGTCGTCAGCAGTGCCTGTGGCTTTTGATAGGGTAGGGGCTGTCTAGACACTGTTCTGAGCCCGGGTGCTTTTGGTGGAGATCGCTTAGAATTTAGATGAACTGTTTACTCTTTGTTTAATGTTTTACTTCTTGTTTCATTTGAGAGATTTCCAAATTATATGAGTAGGGAGAAGACAGAAAAATTGAGTGTGTCGGAGTTTGCTTTGTTTTTTAGGGATGAAGTGATACGCCTGAGGGGAGGGTGTTGTGCTTTTGAGCTGCTGGATCCACGCTTCACAGGCATCCAGAACTGTTTTAAGAAGAAGACAATCTGATTGGCTCAGAAGGCCCGCTCTTTCAGTGCTCCTGCCAAGGGCTAGCTCACTCCAGAGCTTAAAACAGAAACTAACGATTTCCATTCATCTGATCCTTCCTTGTGTTTGTCTGCGCTCACAGTTAGCAAGCGCCACTTCCTGTTGCCACCACCTTTGATGTTTTGACGTTACACATAAATGTGCTTGAGATCATAGTGCACACCTTTAGTCCCAGCGTTAGGGAGGATGAGGCAGGCACATCTATGTGGTCATATATGGTCTAAGTCAGCATGAGGTCAGCATGGTCTAGGTAGTGAGTTCAAGGACAGCCGGAGCTACATGGGGAGACTCTATCTAAAAAAATAAATAAATAATTTAAAAGTGCCTGAAGATCTATTCCTCTAGCAGAAGACATGTGCCTTTCTATTTCAAGTTATTCTTGACAAAAAGACTTAGTGTGGAAAAAGTATCTTTGATGTGGTGTTCCTTTTGGAATGTTCCCAATGGTAGGGCTTGGACCAGTCATTATAGGAACAAGTTTAACTGTTGAAAGTTTAACTATCAGAAGCCTCCAAGTGATGGAGAGATTGGGTGGCTATAAACAGAGCCCATGACGAGACTGGAGGTTGGGGTAACATCCAGTGCTACGATGGACGTAACTCGAATGTGAATTCAAAGAAGCAGCCACTGTAGCATAGTTGAGAAAAGTGAGAAAAAGTCAGTTAACCTTGCTGAACCCCACAGTCTGAAGTGTACTGGCAAGAGGAAGATGGATCACTGTTTTGGTAGACGTACTCAATCAAGTGTTACTCGGAGCAGGTATTAGAGACTGAATTTGGTGGATGGAATGTTCTGGTCATCACAGATGGTTGTAGAATAAACGTGTTGTTTTAAACAGGCTCAACCTGTTTAAACAGGTTCTTGATGGGATAGATCTCAATCTCTCTTGGAGCTCACCTGATCTTGTGCTGTTGAGTGAGGACTCTGGTTTCTGGCCTGTCTTCTTTGAACCTTGATATTGTGAAAGGGATGTTCTGATCTGACCGAAGAAAGTCTCCGGCAGTAAACGAGTCCCTTGGCTTCACTAGTACTTGTCAGTCTTCTAGAAATCTCTTGGTGTGGGTTGTCCTTAGTAGATTCTAGCGATTCTATGTATATTTTGAGTGCCAGGCCCAATCAGGCCCGTATATACGTGCTAGAGGAGGAGACATAGATCAAGATATTCAGATAAGTCATGAGAGGTCTCAAGGCAGGCCATGGTCCTGATGTATCTGGAAAGTGGATGAAAAACAGGAATGAGTTAAAACACATCAGGCATTTTGCTTGTTTGTTTGTTCCTGGTGACTAGGAAACTAGGAACGCTTAAGCAAAAGGTATTTAATTAGCATGTTTACAGGCATGGAGATGGGCTAAGCGCACCCTATATCATGGAGCTCAAGTATTAACAGGACCTGATTTTGCCCTGTTTGCCTCTCTGACCCCATGCTTTCTCAAGTGTCATTTAGGATTTTTCCTGTTTACTGGGGTCACATGATAGTGACACCCATAAACTCTTAATACCTTGAATCCAGCAGGAAAATTACAATCACTGAGCCCTTCAAAGAATCTGTAATTAAATTTGGTGAAGCACTTATTCCTGACTCATCATTTGAACCAGGGAAATGTGGCTCACTCTCAAGCTGAGACATTCAATCACTCTTGAGATCAAGGGCAGAAATGTCTTCAGCAGAAAGTCTGGAAAGCTCCTCAAAGAGGAATAATGTAGACTCTCAGAAGAAGAAGAGCAGGAGCGTGTGCAGGCTCAGTGAGGCTGAGACCTGGAGAGAGAAGGGAAACCATAGCAATAACAGTTTCCGTCAAACAGGGAGCAATAGGGACTCAATACCCAGATATGAGTGTTCCAAAGTCAGTGCTCCCAACTCACCGAGTGTCTCAGCTACCCCAGAACATCGCCTTTACGTGGCTCACATGCTCAGTGTGAACAGGCGACTCCTCCTCCTGGCACGGACACTGTCGTTAATGTGCTGTTGACTGTCTTGGAGCCACCACGGCACATCACGGTCATTCACAATATCCTAAAGCAGGTGGCGCATAGAATATCCGGTCCTGTGCTGACGCCAAGTTTTAGTCCACGTAAGAACTAACTGAAGACTGGATGTGAGAACTTTGCCTCCTTCAGAGACGAAGTCTTACCTTGACGGCACCTTGTAGATAGTCCCAGGCCAAAATGAACTTTAACGGAAGTGAGCAAATCTTGACGTGTTCAGTCTTTATCCTTTCTGGACACTTAGTCTACGTTGTCCTTCGGCTGTGTCCTTTCTTCTTTCTGATTTGTTTGCATGTATATTTTCTGGTACTGGTTAGACCTTTGTTGAATACATAGATCACACATATGTGTCCTTTGGATTTACTTTTCATTCTCTAAGAATGTCACTGGATTAGAAGTCCTTATCCACTTTACAGCCCCGTTGTTGTTTTGGTTTTTTTTTTTTTTGATGATGATATTTTAGTTAGATATGAGGAACTGCTCACTGACCCAAAACCACTGGGAACACATTGAATATGTTCTTTTTCTACCTTTACTTTGTTTTTTACTATTAGATATGAAAATTGCCTGGAATTTATTTTTATTTTGGTTGGCATAAGGGCCGAGATACTTTTCTCCCACCCAGTGTCCTTTTTGACCTAACCACCCTATATCTAAGATGTCCTGATGTTGTTCTGAATTCCTGTCAATCAGTGGCAATCTTGGCCTCGTGTTTCTTCTTTGGTCTTTATTATTATAGAGTTTGTATATTCCATACGATCTAAGAATATAACTTTTCCTTTAAGCTACTGAGGATGCTTCCAGAATAAAAACGATCCAGGCTTAGCACTGTTCTAGTCAGGATGCAGACTCAGCAGCAATAACAAAGACCTAAGTAGAACAGTCAGTTAAACTACACAGGGCATTTTTGTCTTTCATCAAACCATTCAGAAGTGTCAGTCCAGGGCTGATACGGGGGCTCCTCTTTTCTCTCTACCAATACAGTTTCTGACTCACAGTCATAAACAGTTGCATCAGTCCTTGGTACCAAGTCCTGTTCCATCTAAATTTAATGGGAAAAATGACTTAAATAGCAAGTCACATCATGCTAATAGCAGCCTAAAGGTTGAGCACATTAAGCCTTCTTTATCTCATTGTCTAAGGTTTTGCATGTGGTCACATCTGATTGCAAAGGAGGTGGAGAATGCTGTCTGCAATCATGTGGCTGTCCCCAGCAGAAACCCGGAAACTGATTACTAAAGAAAAAAGAAGTACATATTTACTGATGGAGAGGTAGAAGTTTCTATCCCATTACCCTTGCCCCCCATCTCAGGCTTCTCCTCAGTGCCCATAATCTGATCAGATTGAACCTAGATGGTTACTCAGTGCACGCCCTATTTGGAGGAGAGTCATTACTTCTCTCCAAGGTCACTGATCCTTGAGCAGCCCAAAAAAGTCTTCTTCTGCCAGTTAGTTGATATTGTGTCTGCCCTGAGACCTATTTATCAGAGACTGCTCAGTGGGAAAATGTTATGGCAGTCAGTGTTACAAGTAATCTGGAGAGTTGGGTGACATCTCTGTGAACAGCAAGCAAGAGGGTGACAAAGCCCAGAGTGGAATCCAGAGTCTGTTTTCTGTCACACGCCTTTTCTAACGCATTGTGTTTGCAGGGACCACCATGCATGTATACTATCTTCTTTCTTCTTACATACTCCCTGCTTGTGTTTGTGTGCTATATGCGTGTGTACGTGTGTGTGTGTGTGTGTGCGCGCGCGCACACGCGCGTTTGTATGTCTATGTGGGCATCTGCATGTAGAGGCCAGAGGTTGATGTTGCTGTGCCCATAATTTTTGAGACAGGGCCTCTCACTGTCCATGAATCTCACCAATTTGACAAGACTAACAGGCAATAAGCCCTGGGCATCCTCCTGTGTCTGCCTTCCCAGTGCTGGGATTACAACCACATGCCACCATGTCTGCCCTATTTATGTGGCTGGTTGGCAATGGCCATCTCTCAGCCTAATTGTATTTAATTCATTTGTTATTCAGTCTGCCATGTTGACTGAGGGCCTACCCTAAGCCCAGAACGCTGTTGGAAGTGGTAGAAAGCATAACCTATGTTTGGAATGACAAGTTCCTTTCACACGAGATAGCAATATGAACTCAGCTCCCAAACACACTGTATAGAAAACAGTTCTGCCTACAGCAAACCTAAGTGTTTGGAATAGTGGTCATGAATATATACAATTTATCTATAATTGTTTCCTAGTTAGTCAACTAATTGACTAATTGAGACCCCTAAGGTGAATCACAGAATAAGAAAAGAGAGAATTATTTTAGAATCTAGAATGCTTTCGGGCTTTAGTCTTACATTTATTTTTTCTTTTGAATATCATTAGCTAAAATCTTAGCACATTTCATGAACATAGTAGCTGTCCATAGACCTGAGTGCACTGTGCTTCAGTCAATTCATGTAATGTGTCTTGATGTCAAGGCAACCAGTGTTCCCTGCCCCTTGAACATCTGTCACTGGTCCCGCCATGCTTTAAATATTAGCACTTGTCCTATGCAAATGTTTTTGGCACCCATCATCTGATCTCCTTCAATCCCCTTCCAGTCAGAGGATGTCAAGAAAGACCTCTAGAGGAATGGATGCTTTAGCTGGGGCAGAAGTGATGAGGTCACCTATTGATATGAGATCACCTTTTCAAACTACGCTCGTGAGAACATGTAATATCTGCATTTTGTCTTCTAGCTAACTACACTTTACGCTGCTCTCCACTTCCTTTCATATTGTTGAAAATGACATGAGTTATTTCTTTTTATGAGTGAATAGGATTCACGTGTAAATACTGTTTTCTGCATCTGGCCTTCCTTGATTGATTCTCAACAATAAATATCAAGCTTGTCAATATCCCTTGGATTGTTTTCCTCAAATATACATCTGATGATCTGTACCTCCCGTCAGCCCCCAAAGGTTTCAACCTCTTCAGCCTCTCCGGATACCCAGGCCCATTGGCCTTCCCAGTTCCTGCCAATTTTCCTACACATAACACCACACTGAATTACCCACAGCTTCCTAGGTTCACTGTGTTCTCCATTGCGCCTCCACAGTGGCTCTTTCTTCCCCAACCTTTACCTCACCATCACCCAGCTCCCCTAGTCCATCCCTTCAGTTTCAGATAAGGCACCCATTCCTCCAGAAGTCTTTCTTTACACCTCCAGGCCGGGTGGGTGCTCCTTAGCACCCTGCACCTCACAGGTCATACCACCAACTAATGCTATCCACTACCCCTAAGTCTTCCTCTAAGACCAGGGGGTTCTGCGTGCTGTGGAAACAGGGCAGGGCTTGCGTTTTCACAGCTGATATTTCACAACTCCTATCACGAGCTGATAGGAGTTCGGCAAATATTTTTGAGGTGACTGGATAGCAAATGAACAATGAGTTACTTGTTTATTCCCTTCTTATGTCTCCTCAGAATTACAACCGGACCCCTGTGATGGTCTTAGCTGTCCCCATTGCGGTGAAATTCCTCCACAGAGGCAGCAAGGAACTGTGCAGGAACATGTCCAACTACCTGTCCCTTGCTGCCATCGCCAAGGCAGATCTCCTGGCTGATCACACAGAGGGGATAATAAGGAGCATTCTTCAAGGTACGGTGCAAGAACTGAGCTGGGGATGGGTTTAGCAGGAACTCAGTGAGTTGCTCATGGCTCCTGTGAGTGAGGCCTCACCCGCAAAGGGGAGAGTTAGGGTGGTTTGGTTTGGTTTTCTTTGCTGTGCTGATGGTTGACTCCCAACCATGCCAGAATGCCTCCTGGGCCAACTGAGCAAGTTTCTTTACCTGGTGAATGAAGTACTTAGATTCTCTGAGAAAGTATGAGCTTCCTGCCAGTCCTATGATTCTCAGTCCAGAGAGCTGTGTAGCCCACGGTTCCCGTCGAAGTGTCCAATTCCCAGCCATGGAGAGCTCATTCTGCAACAGGTCTCTCAGTGGTTGATGGAAACGCTCATTTCCTTTCATTTCCAGAAGTAAGAAGTATCTTTGGCTATATAAAATACACAGAGCCAGGCATGGTGGCACATACCTTCAATGGCAGCACTTGGGAGGCAGAGGCAGGGGGATTTCTGTGAGTTCAAGGACCACCTGCTCTACATAGTGAGTTCCAGGACAGCTGGAGCTACATGGTGAGATCTTGTCTTTAAAAAAAATCAAAACAAAAGATAAAATACACAGGAAGATATGTGATGATTCTCTAACTCAAATGTGACTTGAAACTAATTTACAAGTGCGTTAAATACCACCAAAATGAATAAATAGATAAATAAATAAATAAGGACATCTTTATTCTTACATTATTTGAATCAAAAAACTCAAACTAGTCCACACATATGTCCTTTTTTTTCAGCAGGAGTAGAGGGTAGGCTCCTATCTATCTGAAACCTTGTTTTACTTTTTATTTATTTATTTATTTTTTTTGGAGAAAGGATTTCAGGACAGAGGACACTGTATCAAAAGCCTTGATATGTGTCCAAATAGTCCCAGTTCTCATTGATAAAAATGCGTGAGGTCCACAGGCATTACTGCACTCTGTGCCGGGCATCTCAGGGTCGGCCCACAGTCTGTGTCCGTTTGACCAGGCTTCCCAGCTTAGCACACTGTGCTAGCATTCTCCACGTGACTCTGCTCCCGGCAGGGTTCACACAGAGACTCTGTGACACCCTGTCAGAATGGTGGCCTCTGCCCTCAGGCGCCTCCTCCCCTGAAGCTTCAGGAACCTAGAGTTCCACATGGCAGCCTCTGGCAGTAGAACAACAGTCTTTTCCCCTGATGTTACACCTTGGTTACATCTTGGTAGACACGCCCAAAGCAGGCTGTTTATTTCAGGTGGGTTGTTGTTCTGTGTTTGCAATAAGAGAGGGAGTACACTCTTCCCAGATGTTTGGCTCAGCTGTTGACCTCTCGACCAGATGAGCAAGGCAAGAGGTTCAATCCCCATTGCTGAAAAAATAAAATAATAATATAAAAAGACAAAGCATTCTCTTTCCTTTCCTGAAATCAGAAACCAACTGTCCCCCTCTGCATACCCCCTGGCCCATGCCATCTTCTCACACACCCTACCCCTTCACCCCACCCCTCTTGCACCCCATTCTTAGAATGCCTACGGCCTGACAAGGACAAAGGTTTTGCTCCCACTTCAAGCTCAAATGTCAGAGACTCCTAAGGAGACTCCTGGCCAGTCTAGCCCACAGTCTGCTAGGTGCCCAGATATGTCTGACCACCCGGGACAGGTAGGTGTGTCGCTCAGCCTGGGCTTCTCGGTAAAGATTTGCCACTAATAATGTTAGTCAGTGGCCTTGTACCTCATTTCCCTTGGCCACAGGATCAAATCACTAATTTTACTTTGCATATAACTGATTTTGATGCAAGTCCAGAGATGCAATCAATCTTTTATTTTCACCACTTTAAAAACATTTTTTGAAAAAAATTCATAAAAACTACGAACACACCAAGCATTGTAAAACTATGGGAAATGGACTTGTGAGCAATAGAGTTATATAAAAGAATGAATCCTCTCTTTAAGGCTGCCAGGAGTTTAGCTCATAATTTTGAGGCTTTTAGAATGTTATTTCAATGACAAAGAGATCTTTGAAACACGAAATCAACTCTAAAATCACTGCAAGCATTTGAAATAAACAAATGATTTGGCTTATTTGATCTGGCACTCTGAAAATTGCCATAGACTCGAGAGTAGCTTGACCTATGAATGGCTGCGTCTGCATATCGAGGGTTTTGATTCGGAGGACTGTCATGACTATAAAGCCCCATCCACAGCGCATGTGAGTTGCAGAGCAGAAAGGATTTTGAGTAGTGAGTTCTTTGCTCTGCAAGTCTTCATTTGATGCTCCCAGTGAGCTGCTTTAGTGAACTCCTTGGGGGTCTTTCTTCATTACATGTAGTTTCTTCTCAACGTCAGACTGTTGTCTTTGATCTGTGACTGTCTTCTTTGATCTGTAGTATCCTGATCTTTAGACTGTTGTCTTTGATCCGTCACTGTCTTCTTTGATCTGTAGTATCCTGATCTTTAGACTGTTGTCTTTGATCCGTCACTGTCTTCTTTGATCTGAAGTATCCTGATCGTCATTCTCCTGGACTTCTACTCTTACAGAAAGGTTAGTGGTCACCTGTTCAATGACAATACTTACAATAACATTATAATAATAAAGTCAGACAATTTTCATTGTCAAATGTTGAATTAATACATTCGTCCAAATTAGATCAGCATTACTCGTGAGACCTGCAAAGAAGAAATCCTGTTATTCCATTTTACCGGGCAGTAACACTTTAAGTAACAAAAACCTTGGTATAAATGACTTGATGGAGAGGCTAAAGAAAAGGAAGAGGAGAAAAAAGAAGAAGAGAAGAGGAGGAGAATGGAGATGACAAAGAAGCGGGGAGAGAAGGGGAAGAAAGGAATAGGAGAAGAAGAGGGGAGGAGAAACAGGAAGAGGGCAAGGAAGAAAAGAAGTAGGAGAAGGAGGAAGAGGAGGATGAAAAAAGAGAAATGAAGAAGAGAAAAAAGAAAAAGGAGGAAGGGGAGGAAGAGGGAGAAAGAGGAAGAGGGGAAGAAAGAGGAGAAGTGAGAAGAAGAGGAGCAACGCGTTGTTGACACATGAACGGTCCATGGGTGGATTCTTCCCATTGACTTGACGTGGGCCTCGGAGGTGGCCCTGAAAGCTGTGGCTAAGCATCCTTCTGCTGTATTGCTGTGCTTTTACGTCCCAGAGCATGGGCCTACATACTGTCTGCCTCACATCATGGTGACTACAAATTACACGAAGTCCATATCCATTCTGATTTCCTGTTTTCAATCCAACTCTGGCAACCTGACTGGTTCTGAATGACACGTCATCCTTGCAGGGAGACACCATATATCAGTTGTCTGCTGAGACCCTGAGCTACCTCAGAAAAGGAGGTGGCCATGGACTGCCGCAGAACCTCGTGAGTGGGGAGTTAGGAAGGACTGGGTCTCAGAAAATCTGCTGTGGAAGCCACAAATGCCCACCCTGTTATTTTGCACACAAGCAGCTGACTAGAATTAAATGTTAGTCATTTCACTCCAAAGCAACCTCTGCCGTTGAATCCCAGCTCCACTGAATATTGGTTGTACTTGTATTTTTCTGAGCACCTGCTTTCTTACTGTGTAAATGGAGACGTCCGAACAATGGCAGAACACCACAGCCTAGTTTGACCTCAGATAAATATTAGCTAAGGTGGTGATGGTAACGATTATGACAGCCTGCCTCTTTTTGAGTATTTTAGTACCAGGAGATAGATGCCCTGTTTCTGGTGAAAACTTACATCCTGTGGGCCTATTTGGTTCTTTTGGTGAATTAGATGTTCTTTCCTGTGTCCTTCCACTTTTGGTTAAAGCCCTCCTCTTGGGCCTCTTGGGCGTGATGAACTGTCAAAGAAAGACCGAGCATCGTTTCTCATGGCTCCTCCTGTTTGTACCCTTGTTTTCTTCTCCAGTCATAACAAGCAGTTTCCCTTCTAGCTCACAGACTCAGCCAAAGATGACTTAATTCTGAGTCATTCTGCAAGATGCACCCTGGTCCCTTCCATGTGGCCTGACCTCTTGAGTTCTCTCTGGTTCTCCTGTCAGCACTGAGCAGTGTATGGCTCATGGCTGAGTGTAATGGTCTAAACTGTCTCTGTACGGACTAAGTGGATGTCTCCCCCTGCTTAAAAGCCTAATGCAGTCTTAAGATGGAGTTGTTTCTTTTACTTGGCCAGTCACACAGCCACGTCTTTATTCCTACTGATCTCATCTTCTGTTGTATCTTCAAAGGTTTTCTTTGTTAAACACACACATGCGCACGCACATGTGCACACATGCATGCAAGTGATTTTGTATATTCAGCAATTTCTGCTGTGTTCTGGGTTTTAAGTCTTTCAAGCTTTACATAGTACTTACCTTTATAACTTTTTACTGCCCCCCCATGTGATTCAGCTCAATGCTTTTCTAGGCCAAGACTTGTAAAATGTGTTTCTTGCATCTCAATGTGACTGCAGTTCTTCCAAGGGCATTGTCAACTATAAATTTCTTGGACACTGTCACTCTTTCTTCAAAGTACCAACTCAGATTACCCTATGAGGTCCAAGGCCTTGTTGTACCAGTGCTGTCTACCCTTAGATTTGGCTCATCATAGTCCATTAATCCTATTTTCCAAAACTGTTTTATATATTGCAAATCAAATTCCTCATATATGTTTATAATTTAACTCTGAGAAACTATATGAAATGGGGTTGTATATTTACCCCTAAAGGAAAACGTTTGAATAATTCTAAGCCGAGTTTTACAGGTTTTCCTTACTACTGGGTAGATATGTAATGTTTAATTAAATTTAAACGCAAAATTAATTTTATTCAGGTTGTTTAGATTTCTCTTACCTGTTTTGTATTCTACAAATTCTTGAAATGAGAAGGAAAATTACAAAAAAGTTTCTGTTTTTGGAAGAATTAAAAGTAGAGAGTTTTTGCTGATTGGGCATAAAGCAAGCAAACTTGAATTCTGACAAATCAGTCACACGAGTGTCTTTAAGTCAACTACCAGTAAAACCCTGTCACTATTTAGCTTTGTTGGAAATT